CCAGCCCTGCACCTTGTTGTCTCGGATTCTCCAGCATCTGCAGTTCCTACTATCTCTCATTCAATTCTCTCACTTTCTACAGGCAGTACTACTTACACCTACAGGGATATCACAGGAGCCCTGACTGGTATCATCTTTGAAGCCCAGACATTCACCCTGTTAAGAACTACCCTTCACCATGCATACAGTTAAAGACCACCCACAAAGCAAAGCTGTTCGGGGCACATAGATGGCATGAACTAAGCTACACAGATTGCCTGTACCTAGCATCATCCCATCTTACAGGTATATTAAACTCAGCAGGTGTGGCAGCAATTGTGAAGACAAAGCAGAGGCAACATTTTGGGTCCAGTGATCCTTCTTCAAACCCTCTGTCACTGGACACAAAACATTGACTCTGCTTTCTCTCCAAAGTTGCTGCCACACCTGCTGAGTTTCTCCAGCTATTTCTGAAATTTCCAGCATCTGCAGTTCTTTGCTTCTTGTTTACAACTTACGTTCCCTGTATTCATTGTTGCTGCTTTGCGGACCTCGAAGCTGGAAGTCGGTGTGTTGACACGCCAATCAACATGTTCAGACTTAGAGGGAACATTGCCTACAACCATGTCAACGTGAGTGCTGTCCTGGTCTCAATGCCAATTGTAGCCCAACATTCCCTGTTGTTCAAAGTGTTCATTGTTCAGTAGCTACAAGGATTGTGTATGCACTGTTAGTAATCTTCCAAGAACCCTCAGATTTTAAGAAAAGTACCAAAAGATTGATATCGAAAAAGGTGGGACTCAACAAAACAAGTAATTGTAGGTTGGTTAGCTTGACACCTGTCATTACGTAATGCTAGGGAATATTTTAAAGGATGTAAAGGCAGAGCATGTAGAAGTCCATAATTTAATCAAGCAGAGTCAGCATGGCTTCATGAAGGGAAAATCATGCCTGACAAGTCTATTACAGTTTATTAAGAAGCTAACAAGCAGGATAGATAAAAGTAAAGTAGAAGCTGAAATATATTTGGATTTCCAAACAGTGTTCAATAAGGTGCTGTACATAAGAATATATAATAAGTGAAGAGCCCATGGTGTTGAGGATAGTATATTAAAGATTTGGCTGTGTAATAGAAAACAGAGTTGGGAAAGATGGGGCATTTTCAGGATGGTAACCTGTAACTAGCGGAGTGCCACAGGTTTAAGTGCTGGCGCCACAATTGTTTGCAATCTGTATTCATGACTTTGATGACCGAAGTGAATGTACTGTTGCCAAATTTTCAGATGGCACAAAAAAAGGTGAGAAGGCTATTAGTGAACGTGACACACAGAAATCACAAAGGAACATAGAAAAATTAAGTAAGTGAGCATAAAGTCGGGAGATGGAGCGTTATGTGGTAAAGTGTATGGCTATGCATTTTGCCATGGTGAATGGAAGAGCTGAATATTATTTAAAGTAGGGTTTTCATGGTCCTTGTGCATGAATCAAAAATGCTATTTTCAAAGTTCAGTGAACAATAGCGAAGGCAAATGGACTGTTGGTCTTTTTTCAATGGGAATGGAGTATAAAAATAGGGAGGTCTTGCTAAAACTAGTTAGATATACTGGCATTGGAGGCAGTTCAGAGAAAGCTCACTAGATTGATTCCAGGTATGGAAGGACTTTCTTATAAGGAAAGGTTGATTAATTTTCCCTGTGAGTCATTGGAGTTTAGAACAATGAGAGGAGAACTCTCTTGAAAGACAAAGCCTTGGGACTTGACAGGTTAGAGGCATAGTTATCATTTTCCGTACTTGGAGAGCCTAGGACCAGAGGTTACAGTGAGAGAATATGGGGTTACCCATTTAAGGCAGAGATGAGGAGGAATTTTTTTTTCCTCTGGGGGGTAGTCAATTGAAGTGGAATTAACGAGTTAAGAGATAAAGTGGGAAAGTAGAGTTGAGGATTATCAGATCAGTCATGATCTCATTGAATGACAAAACAGAATTGATGGCTGTATGGCCTACTTTTGTTCCCGTGTTTTGTGGTCTTCTGGTCTTGTATATGACCATCACATGCTAAAAAGACTTGAATCTGTTCAAAACTTTTACTTTTATTCAGCAGCAGCAAAAGCAAACAATGAACAAACGAACAGAAGCCTCATTTGTTTCAGGGAACAGACAGAGACTGCTTATCTTTATCCCTAATCAATTTTTGCCTTTCTGAATGTCCATAAATCCTATCTTTTACAATCACCTCCAATAATTTACCCACAACCGAAGTCAGACTCACAGGTCTATAGTTCCTGGTTTCTCCTTATAATTTTTCTTAAACAGAGGTACAACATTAGCCACTCTCCAGTCATCAGGCACCTCACCTGTAGTTATAGATTATGCAAATATTTATGCAAGGGGTCTCGTAATTTCCTCCCTTACTTCCAACAACATTCTGGGATACATTAGATCAAGTCCCAGAGATTTATCCACCTTTGTATTCTCTAAGACCTCCAGAACTTCCTCTTCTGTGGTGTGAACTATTTTTAAAATATCAAAGGTTATTTCTCTGCATTCTCTAGACTCCATTTCTTTCTCCACAGTGAAAATTGATGCAAAATATTCATTTAGTATCTCTCCCATCTCCTGGGGTTCAACACAAAGACGACCTCCTTGATCTTTAAGAGGCCCAACCCCCTCTGGTTAGTAAATTTGTGGATGACACCAAAATTGGTGGCATTATAGATAGTGAAGGAGGTTTTCTAAGATTGCAAAGGGATTTTGATGAAATGGGTCAATGGGTTGAAAAATGGTAGATGGAGTTCAATCAGGATAATTGCAAGGTATTGCATTTGTTACAACAAACAAGGGTGGGGCCTTGGGTGGTGTTGTAGAACAGAGGGACCTAGAGGTGCAGGTACATAATTCTTTAAAGTTTGCATCACATGTAGACAAGATGGTTAAGCTATTTGGCACACTTGCCTTCATTTGTTCAGTCCTTTGAGTATAGGAGTCAGTACATTATGTTGAAGTTGTACAGGAGGCCTCTTCTGGATAACTGTGTCCAGTTCCGGTCACCCAGTTACAAGAAGAATATTATCAAGCTGGAGAGGGTTCAGAAGAGATTTACCAGGATGTTGCTGAGTATCGAAGGTTTGAGTTATAAGGAAATGCTGGATAGGCTGGGACTTTCTTAGTAGAGCGTAGGAGATTAGGAGGTGACCTGATAGAAGTTTATATAATGATTAGAGGTATAGATAGAATTGATGATCGTTGTCTTTTCCCTAGGATGGGGAATTTCAACACTAGGGGACACATTTTTAAGGTGAGAGGAGAGAGATTTAGAAAGGACTTAACAGGCAGTTTTTTTTTTTACAGAGGGTGGTTCGCATGTGGAATGACCTTCCTGATGAAGTGGTGGATGTGGGTACAATTACAACGTATAAAAGACATTTGGATGGATATATGAATAGGAAAGGTTTGGAGGGATATCGGCCAGGAGCAGGCAGCTGGGACCAGTTTAGTGTGGGATTATGTTTGGCATGGATTTGTTGGACCGAAGGGTCTGTCTCCGTGCTGTCTGACTGTATAATAAACAACTTACAGTCAATGAGTAATCACTGCATTAAACTCTCATCTACTGGATCTGTGTAAATTAAGTCGTGCCTGGCTTGTTGTGATTATTGCTGAAGTGGTCTGTCATGCAGATGTTTCTCCTGATCTATGTCATCTTCCGTCTCAGAAGACTGCTCCCATATTCCTAGCTCTTTGTAGTCCACCACATCCTCTTCATGCCTGCTTCAGTTGAGTAGAGCACAGCATGCTTGCATTCGCAGCATATTCTCTATGAAGTGTACTGCAAGCCCCAACATCATCAGGCTGATTCAAGCATTTCTCATCTTCAGGGCACCTCTTGTCTAATCCACCATGGTCATGTTCAAAGAATGTCTGCATTATATTTACATTAACCTTAATTAAGGTACCGGAGTGTTTCCTCCAGGCCCTTCTGTGGCAGTGGCAAGAGCAGGCAGCCTGAAGTCTTCTGAAGAGTTGGCCCGAGGAGATTGAGCCCTTGAAAGGAGTGCGAGCCCAGCATGGCTAAGCACTTAAGAATGACTGTTGAACCATTAACGTTTTTTCTTTATTTTTCTACTTAATACTAAGAAGGAATGTAATATTTAACTTTTAACTTCGTTTCTTTTATTTTTCTACTTTATAGTAAGAAGGACTCTAATTTTTAACTTCTAATTTTCTTTCTTAATTTTTCTACTTTGTACCTAAGATTTTGTATCTTGGTACTTTGTACCTCAGATGGCGCTGGGAATGATGGTACACTTTTCACTTCACTGTACTCAAGTACTTCTGTACTACTTCATTTTATTGTTACGTGTACTTCTGTACTTGAGTACACGTGACAATAAAACTTAATTCTAACCCTAACATCCCATGATTACCTACACCTACTACCATCATTCCACCTTGATCCCCAAAGCCCCATTTGTGATCTCCTACTTGCCTGGCCAAAGAGCCAAAGTGCTGATAATTTTCCTTTGGAACTGCCTGAAAGGTGGTAAAAGCGGATTCAATAATAAATCTCAAAATCAAATAAGATAAATACTTGAAGGGAAAAAAAAAATCCGAGGGTTTTGGGGAAAAAGCAGGTGAGTCGAATAGTATTTAGGAATATTTTTCATAAGGTTGACGCGGGCAAGATGGGCTGAATGGCCATCTTCTTTACTTTGTCATTCTATGTTTTGATCACATAGCTTGCCGAGGCATTTAGATTATTTATGTTTATATCAATCACTAACTGATTCGGATAGAGAACATAGAAGTTACAGACAAGTTGTCGCTGTGTTCTTCGCGTACAAGCATCGTAAATCTTATTATAATTTTTAAAAAATTATCAAGGATGCTGTTTACAAAAGGAGAGTTCCATTTATTGAACTGGTCCTCAAAAAAAAACAAAATGTAACCAGCCCGCTAAAAACATCAAACATGGACAATTGGCTATTAATAATGTTTAAAAATTTCTTTGCCATCTCCACAGAGGAGGACGAATGTTCCAGACATGACAATGGAGGCTGTGAGCAGCAATGCGTGAACACTTTGGGCAGTTACAAGTGTACCTGTGATCCAGGCTACGAACTTGCGGCAGACAAGAAAAGTTGTGAAGGTAAAAGCTACAAATAAAAGTATCAAATAAGGGCAGATATGCAGCGTCCACATGTAATTATTCTGCTACTAGCAGATTTCATCTAGGAGTAGGTAGGTGTGCTTGGATTCTTCAGTGATAGAACACTGAGTTCATTTTTAGTTTCAATTTTTAGTCTCATCTAACTTAGATCAAGTAGCCAACAAGTTTTCTACTGGATCATTTGAAACAGAATCTGCCTATTCAGAAGGGAGTAAGAATTGGCACAACATTTGCTCCTCTGTTCTATAATTACCCTCTGCTGATAAGAGACTGCCATTGCTGGCAACGAAAAGAAAAATTATGAGCCAAATTATTTTGTTCAGCTCATTAAGGAACCACACAGTCATTAACATTGATCTTTATATTGTTAGTGCCATGTATGTACAAGATTAATTAGTTTAATGACACTTGGTTACATTTTTTAGCAATTTTCCAGTTTTGTTTTAATGCTAGCTATCTCCCCTTAAACAGTACCATCCTGAAGGCAGTGGCTGATGATATAGAGAGCAAATTTTGCCAGGCGATATGCCTCGGGCCAAATGGGTAATTAAAATGTAAAACAGAGACCATACAGAATGCAATTTACCCAAATGATCACTCTTCACTCATGAGCCTAAGGAGAGGATTTTCATGGGTAATTTCATCTAGGGCATGGCAGAACATTGCTACAGAGACCACTAAACCTCAAACAACGATCATTAGAGAGTAATCCAGCCATTTGATTTTTGTTTTCTTATTCTTTGATGGCATGTCAACATCTTTTGCAATAGCGGCATTTGTTGTCCATCCCTAATTGCCCTCAAACTGAATGGACATTGCAAAGGGAGTTAAGAGTCACCCACAATACTGGAGGTCTGTTATCATATGTAAGTCAGACCAGGTAAGGATGGCAGATTGCCTTTCCTGAAGGACTTTGTTGAGCAGTTGGGTTTTTATGACAATTGAAGCTAGTTTCATGTCACCAGTATTACAACTAGCTTTTTATTCAAGATTAACTGTATGAATAAATCCATTTCCTCAAAGCATTAGCCTGCACCTCTGGATTAATAGTCCAGCAACTTCTAGCAATTCCTATCCCAGAAACACTCAAATACTAAAATAATTCTGTTACTACTCCAGATGAAATCAGAATTCCATAATGAGTTAAATGAATTACCTTTACAATATGTAGCTTGGTGCCATCCCAAGTACTTCATTTATTTCAGAGATTTGCAATACAGAAGGAGGCCATTTTGCTCATCATTTCTATGCTGGTTCTTTACTAGAGAAGTCTAAAATTAGTCCCTCTGCCTTTCTCTGTAGCCACAGAAGCATTTAAGCTCATCAAAGCCATGTTCAATTTATATGTGAAATCATGGTGACTTGTGTCAAAGAAGTTTGCGATGCATATCGATTTCATTTAATGATATGCCTTGCAACCAGTTAAGTACATGTTCGATGTTTTGCACAAATTGTATATTTATACTAATTCTGTCACTTAGGATCTCCAGTTCATAAAGTAAATTTGTCCTTTTTTAATTTTAGCTGCCTGTGGAGGACTGTTGTCAAAACTAAATGGAACAATCACCACACCGGGCTGGCCTAAAGAATACCCTCCAAATAAGAACTGTGTTTGGCAAGTTGTGGCTCCTACCCAATACAGAATCTCTATGCAGTTTGAATTTTTTGAATTGGAAGGCAATGATGTGAGTACTGTTTGCTACCAAATCACACAACTAAGATTCATAATTTTAGCTAAATCTAATTAACTTAGACATTGATGGGCGATAATCAGTTTTATTTTAAATATTAAGCTCCATTGCAGCGTTTTCTTATAAAACTTTACAAAAATAATATTTTACCATATCTAATACTAGTATAATCTAGTAGATAGTGTAATATACAACAGTGGCAATGACCAGGCAGCCAGTTATTTACTTCAAGAAGTCTCACGCTGAATTATTTCTGAAGTATGTTAGCCAGACTCGGATAATTTGGAATAAGTCAAGCAAGTGAACAAATTACGGATATTTGGGACAAACAGAACATCTCTTTTTTGTGCCGAGCCCTGCCAATATCTATTTTGGACAGCATTCAGGAAAATTCAGTTCTATAAGATTTTTTATCCTTCACTTTGGGAATCTTGGTACCGATCAAATATATTTCCCTGTAACTTGTTTCTTAAATACCTCCTAACATTGTTGTGAGATCAACAGGAACAATGTTGGGGAAAGAAATAATTGACATCTGCTTGCAGGAATTGCACTTTGGACCTGTACTTTAGTGCCTGAATTGAGTGTAAAAAGTTAGGAAGCGTTAGGAAATGTCCATGCTTGCTGCACTCACCTTGTGAGAAAATGCCTCAGATGCCAGATATGGTGAGGGTGGTGGGTGCAGGACAGAGGTGGCCTGCTGCCCTCGTTGCAAGAGGCAATCACAAGTGTTGCAAAATGCTAAGGTGTACTATTTTTAAGATCTGTCATGGTTCACTGGGATGTCTTCCCAGTTCCTTCCTTATATTAGGCCCTCTAGTTCACATCTCACACATGCCCTCAACTTCTGTTACCCACACATGCATGCATGCTAACACTTGCCAACCCATGGCTCCACCCACCTCCATGCCCCTTCTAGTCCTATGCCAAATTAGTGGCAACTCCATCAGCTATAGAGTCCCCACCCACTTCCAATGGAAGTTTTTGTTGCACTGTAGAAGTTAAGTAGGTCTGAAAAGTATTTTTAAAAGGTTCAATTTTTCTTTCCCGAGTGTGCCAATGCGTGATCCTCCCTGCTGGGATTGTCAAATCATAATTCACTCTGATGATCAATTTTTGATATGTTCTGCAGATATACTGAATAATTTAGTAGCAATATAGGTGCAAGTATATTGTGTGATAGGTTTAGGGTTATTGAGCACACATTGATTAAGAATGAAACACTGGTAAAAAAGAATGTTATTTACACAATGCATTTTATTGTAGAATTTAAGTTACTGCTTTTTATTTATTCATTCATGGGATGTGGGTTTCGCTGTCTAGGTCACCATTTATTCCCCATCACTAATTGTCCTTGAAAAGGTGGTGGTGATGGTGAACTGTCTTATCAAATCAGTGCAGTGTATGTCATATAGCTACACACTTGGTGCTTTTCGGAAGAAAGTTTCAATATTTTGACTCCATGACAATGAAGGAACAACAAAATAGTTCCAAGTCAGGTTGGTCTGTGGCTTGGAATGGAACTTGCAGGCAATGATGTTCCAAATCATGTTCTATGCTTGTCCTTCTAGGTGGTAGTGGTTATGCAGTTGGAAAGAGCTGTCAAAGAAGCCTTGTTGTGTTGCAGCAGTTCAACTTGCAGACAGTGCACACTGGTGCCATTGTGTATCAGTAGTGGAAGGATTGAATGTTTAAGATGATGAATACAACAAAATGTGCCATACGATAGTTTGAAACTTCTTAATTTTTTTAAACTTTTGGACATAACTATCACTTATTCTGGCAGGTAGTCATCCTGGACAGATGCATTGATTCTTTATTACAACCATTACCACTCCCATTGCCTTTGTTTAATCATATCTGTCTCATTTAATCTGTCCTGCCTTCTACCCTATCCATAAGACCATAAGATGCAGGAGCAGCAGTACTCCATTCAACCCATTGATTCTGATCCACCATTCAATGAGTTCTGATAATCCTCAATTGCACTTTCCTGCCTTTGCCCAATCACCCTTGGTTTCCTAACTAATTAAAAGTCAGTCAATCTTAGCCTTGAATATACTTAGCAAAGTCTCTATAGCCCTATACAGGAAAGAATTCCACAGATTCACTAGCCACTGAGAGAAGACATTCCTTCTCGTCTCTGTTTTAAATGAGTGACCCCTTACTCTGTGATTATGCCCTCTGGTCCTAGACTCTTCTCGCAAGGGAAAACAACATTACCACATTTTACCTTGTCACATCCCGTAAGACTTGAACCGCAATCTCAGATCTTCCCTTTTCTCCCTTCTCACCTCTCTTCATCACACAAAATCCATCACATTCCTATCCTCCTTCAGTTGTGAAGGAAAGTCATGTTGAACTTAAGGAGGTAACTGTTTCTCTTTCCATTGATGCTGTAAGACCTGATAATTCATCATTTTGTTATTTTTATTTCAATTTCCAGAATCACAGTATTTTGCTTTTATCTTATTATAACCATAGTGTTTTAGAATCTTGAGGACTCTCCATGATCATGGGTTGGTCCATTCTTCTATGCTGCTTCTTTTGTTTCCAACAATGTTCACCTAAAATGTTTGAAATATACACGTTTGTTAAATCAATGAAGTTGAGTCAATTACAAAAAAAGTTCAAAAGATTCATGATATAATTTAGTAACCAATTCATATAAATATGTGACCAATATAATTACAATAAACAGAGCCTTTGCATCAAATATCCACATCTTGAGTGATTCTTTAAAGCCTTGTATCAGAAGAATATTGTTGGATCTTCACTTGTTACCTGTCCAGGGAGAAGCTTGAAGTGCTCAGCAATGAATGACCATTTTATTTGCCATTAAGCTTCAAATCAAAGAATTCTACCATAGTTAACAGAAGAAAATTATTCTTCCAATGAATTGTACTGAATTTTCACAATAGAATCACTCTACTATTGATTGACTAGGAGACAATGATATTTAACTTCAAAACACTTGAACTTCCAATCTAGTGAGGCTGATTACATTTGTTACCGATTTGTCCAAATGCCAAGCTATTGATTATTTCCCTGCTGTGAGATCTGATGAAACCAACAACGGGAATAGTTCTCATTTGTATAGTGCCATTATTATAGCAAAACATCCCAAGGCACATGAAAAGGCAGTCTAAATACCAAGCACAAGTTGGTAGAAGAATCAGAAGAGGTAACGGTATATTTTCTGTCAGCTTTTGAATATCAGGAGGGAAGTAACAACTTGCGGGGGTTCAGGGAAATAATTCTGGGATATAATGGAATATATTAGAAACAATGATGGATTTCTAGATAACATGTAATTGCATTCATTTGGTAAAGAAACTTTGTTTCTGATGTGAATGGAAACCATTTTTTTATAACAACATCATTTTGGAATTAGGGTTTTAAGATAAAGGCAGATGGGTGTTAGCTACTTCTGTGAAAAGGTTCCTTTTTTTTCAAAAAAAGTCAGAGACTCATTCCAGAGCAATGACCTAATTTATCATAGAGCAGGTGACTGTAGACCCCTGTAATGTTAATGAAAATATGTTTGTACTGTCGTGTTTATGACAGGTAGGATAAACATTGAAGCTCATTAGCTGGGTTTTCAGTTCAGAATAATCAAGGATTGGGCAAAATTTTTTAAATTCTGTTCAGAAGAAACCAGGGTTGAGTTTAGAAGCAAGTTCTGTCTTAGAAGGAGCCCTGGAAGTTCAGGAAACAAATCATCTTAGCAGAGGCCTTAGCAAACAAGGAGAGTTTTGTTGGGATTCTTCAAGTTATAAAAGCTGAGAAGGTTTAAACTCTCAGATTTGTGACAAGCATGCCCTGTGAGTCTTCATTGGGATCCCTTTTATTCTCATATAATCTGTCCAAAGTATTTTCTTCTGGCTCATGTACTGAACCTATCAATAATCCAAGGTATTTTTTCCTTGCATTTCCACCTGTCACAGATTATAAAACCATAAGAAGTAGGAACAACAGTAGGCCATTTGGTCCTTCGAGCTTGCTCCACGATTCGATAGGATCATGGCTGATCTGATATTCCTCCCATCCACTTTGCTGCATTTTCCCTTTCTGATCAAGAATCTATCTCAGTTTTCAATGTATGCAAAAACTCTGCCCCCACATCTCTCTGTGGCAAGCAATTCCAAAGACACTCAAACTGCTGAGAGAAGAAATTCCTCCTCATCTCAATCTTAAATTGGTGCCTCTTTATTCTGAGACTGTGACCTCTGGTCCTAGACTCTCCCATGAGGGGAAACATCCTCTAAGCATTTACCCTTTCAAGCCTCTTAAGAATCCTAGGGGTAGTAAGAACTGCCGATGCTGGAGTCAGAGATAACCGTGTGGAGCTGGAGGAACACGGTAGGCCAGGCAGCATCAGAGGAGCAGGAAAGCTGATGTTTTTTCTGTTTTTTTCTGAAGAAGGGTCCCGACCTGAAATGTCAGCTGCTCCCCTGATGCTGCCTGGCCTACTGTGTTCCTCCAGCTCCACACTCTGTTATCTCTTAAGAATCCTATATGTTTCAATGAGATCACCACTCATTCTTCTAGAATAATGAGTGAGTACAGTCCTAACCTGTTTAACCATTGCTCTTAAGAGAATCCATCCATACTGGGGATCATCCTAGTGAACATTCTTTGAACAGCATCCAATGAAATGATATCTTTCCTTAAATAAGGGAACCAAAACTGCTTACAGTACCCCAGATGTAGTCTCACCAGCACCTTGTAAAGTGCAGTAAGATTTTGCCACACTTTTATACTCCAAACCTCTTGAATTAAAGGCTAACATTCCATTAGCCTTCCTGATTACCTCCTGGATCTGTGTGCTAACTTTGTGATTCATGCACAAGTATCTCCAAGTCCCTTTGTGTCGTGGCTTTCTGCAATTTTTCTCTATTTAAATAATACTATGTTCTTTTGTTCTTCCTTTGAAAATGAGCAACTTCACATTTTCACCCTGATCCAGTATACAGATGATCTGAGATTAACTG